CATCAATCTCCACATTACTAAAAGATACAATTAAAGAAAAACAACCATCAACATTAACTTTTTACACATCATAGTCAATGTCTAATACCATTAAACCATTCAATACATGACAAGAACTATAATACATTGTTCCAAATAAATTGTCAACACAATCACCATGAAAATTAAATACATAACCTAAACCAAGAAGAACAACTACAGAGACCAAGTTTCGCCGAATATCTGGAGCATAGAGGACATCATGTAGGAATAGATTTCAACCACCATGAAAGGTTAATTTACATGTATCGATACCCTTCACTTCAACTCTTGAGTTATTTTCAACATATATCGATCTTCTTCCAGGCTATATCCGACGATACTTCACAAACGCTCCTTGGTCTCTAGCTACGTAGTCTGTTGCTCCTAAGTCTACAGTCCACATTGGATGAGATTGAGCAAGCATTACAGTGCTAGAAATAAAAGAATTACTCAAAGTAATTGAGTAATGTGGTACCTCTTTCGGCTCAGTGCATTCACGAGCGAAGTGACCCAGTTTACCATAATTATAACACTTCATCTTGGCCTTGTCCTTCTTCTCGCCACGCTTCTTGCGTCGGAAGGTCTTAACTCTCTTGGGTGCTTGTTCAGTTTCTTTCCCTTTATTGTTGAATTTATGGTTCCTCTTGCGCTTAAAGCCGAAGCTTTGCCCGAACCTGATTCAACAACATAAGCATGAGTAGGGGATTTTGTAGCTAGGCACTCAGTCATCTTCTAATTCCAAATGATGCGCAATATCGTCAAAAGTGATGATATTCTCACTGTGCGTCATATTGATTTTCATATGTTGCTAGCTGTCAGAAAGAGATCTTATAACAGCTTGAACACGTTGTTCATCAGTTAGGGTATGACCTGCCGACTTCAGCTCGCGTAACATGTTTGACATCTCCTAAAGATACTACCTCATCGTTAGATTTGGGTGCTTCCGGTATGTATCAAACTTGATGGTGAGCCTCCTCAACTTGGTGGCAGACGTACCCCAAAACTTATCTTTCAAGGCAACCCACATTGCTTGAGCTTTGTCATAACTTGTAAACTCACACATAAGATCATCTTGCATATAACTCAGCAACGTGATGCGAGCAATGCTATTTTTTCTTTTTCCAAGCTTGATAAGCTTCTTGATCTCTTCTGTGTTGAGCAGAAGTTCCATGCTCAGGTTCATCCATGGTGTGTTTGAGGGTTTCCAAAACCTTTTGCTCCTCAAAGATATACTGAACTTTTCTATGCAAATATCATAATTGTCATCGTTTAGCTTCTCACCCTTATTGAGGTCAACCACAATGGTTTTGGATGTCGAAGCCATAATCAATTTCTGCTACACATTGACATAAAAAAACGCATAATCAATACTAGCACATTTTCCACATAAACACACATATTTTAATTTGCAGCAAAGACAAACTAAATTAATGATAATTCAACAAAAGACATCGAAAAGAAAGTTCACTAAGTTCCCAATCAGCTTCGGCGTACAATTGTTCTACTATCATTAACTTGTTTAATTTGCACAAATTTTAAGTTATAGGTGATAACTCCTTTGAATTCTACCAACCTACGAACTCCCACTAGAAAAGATGATTACATGACATCACGAAATGATTACCAACTTACAAATAATTCATTACATCAAATATAATCATATGCGGAATTCAAGACATAATGAAAAAACAATGATCTCCGGCCATTGTTCAAGTACGCTCGGAATCAGGAAATTGTAAGCACGTTAAATCATATATATGCCATCATTGAACCAAGCTCTACACAATATATATGTGGCCATTTACATGTAGGCTAACTTTTGTATTTCTAAAAACCACAGTGAAATACAGGTTAGAGGAAATAAACAATGTACTTATACTCAAAAAATACGCGTACTCAGGGTTTCATATGCATTTTTATACCTTTAAGAGCCTCAAACATGTAAAATAATTATACCACAATGTAGAGGATGTTGATACAAAGGCAACAACACCAAAAATGCGCCAATCCGACCTTCCACTCGCCCACACGCACTGCCTTTGTGCGCAGCGCGTGTGGCGCACGCGCCAGCGAGCCATTCTGGCTCCTGGCCGGTCCAACCGGTCAACGGTCCGATCGGTTGACTGGTCAACTGGGTCGGGTCGCTGGCCAGCCGATCGCCGAAGGGTCGGTTCGCCGGCAAGATGACACCATCAATGACGTCAGTGTGTCGGTTACCGACAGTTTTGCTGTCGTCATCGATGACGTCAGCATGCGCCAGTTGGCCGATGCGCGCATGTGGGCATGTCCGGCGTCTTCCGGTGGCGTACCACCCGCCGTTTTGATCGTCTCGATGAGTACTTTCACCTTGTATGATCAAAAATGATTTTCTCCAGAAAAATATTTCGAAAAACAATCAGAACAGAACTGACGTTTATCCTCCAAACCCGTTCTTCGTGTCAGATTTTGTTTTCGACAATTCATGTTGCAATTTCCGAGCAATGAACATCCAGACGATATGAAGTTCATCCTCTCAATTCCCATATCAAATAATAAGCGTAATAATTCAACGGAAAAACAAGGTAGAGATCATAACCTTAGCTCTGATACCAATGTAGGAAGTAAGTTTAAGGAGAATCGACTAACTTGTTCAATACACGACGAACAAATTTTCCTAGAACGTACGTTGAATCACTAGAGAACAATGGACGAATCTACTTCACATTGGTTTGAATACAGTCACGAGGAAAGTATTCTCGTTCCACAGCATTAATGCCGATTGTCTTCTTAAAGTAAATACGGAATCCTTATGCGTCGTTCTTTGATGAAGAGAGGAGAGAGAGAGAGAGAGAGTTCCATTCTTCAAAACTTATTTATCTCTTGTTAGATTTTCATACTGAGGAAGTTACTTTAAATTCTCTTAAGAAACTCCCCTTACACCTCTTCAAAAGGTGTCTCTCAGACACACTTCTAATTAGAACAAATGGTGCCCCTTGGACATACTCATTATGAGCGGATCGACAAAATATAACAGGTCCTGTATGTATGATTCTAATTAGGACTCACTTGGTCAAGGGGCCAATTGCTTTTCCCTGGTGAAGTATTTGCCGCCTCTGATTTTCTTGTGAAAATACCCAAAACAAATGGGGGATAAACATGAAGAATACAGAAAAAGAGACCATATAAAATTGAAAAGCTCGTGAAATAAATTGCAGAGGAATTACTTGGAAAAGAAAAGGCGGGGCTTGATCCTAAGGCGTCGCGTTGTATATAATACTAATCGATACGCGGCTTCTATGGCTTCCCTCGTGCATCGTGAAAAATCATGTCAAAAGCATCGAGCAATGAGGCGAGTGCATGACTAGGTGTCTATGATTTTAATCATTATGAATGAAAACAATAGTAAATGTAACCACATGGCACCTAAATTCGCCTCCGTTCCCGACTCAAATCAATTGAAAAATGAGAAAGAGCTTTAGTGACAAACCTTTATCGCAACCAATTATTTGTAGGGGCAGGATAATATCTGTTTCTGTAGATTACATTTCTCGTCTTTAATACTAATCCAACACCATGGCCAAAAGATAGATTACCAAAATTAATACCTTTTCCCTCTAATCGTTGCTCATAAGTCAAGTCACACAACATTAACATTTAGAAAGATATGTATTATCTCTTTTAGTACTTTCTCTCGAGCTATTTGTTCCTTAGCAGCGGTGATTATCTCTTTTATGTTTACAGTAGCTATAACGTTATTATTCTTTTGCTAGTTCAATACTAATTTCGATATTTTTTCTTCCAATAAGATGACAAAAATTATTTTTTACATAAATAAACAACATAAAAGATAAGTTACGTTTATAATTTCCCCCGCAATTAACTCTAATGTGAATAATTTGATCGGCTGAGCCCTAGTTATCTTTATTATCATTCACAATTCGATTTTCATTAAACCAGAGTTTGATTAGACAAGGGATTAGATTTCAATCCTTGTAGGGTATCTCGTATTCTATATTCAAAGTTAAACATATCTCGTCATATAGCGATTTGTTCAAATTATATTTCCTTGGTTTATACACTAGCGATTATTATCGACCTTCTTTTATCACACTAAATCAATGATCTGCTGTTATAGAAGCTGGTTAAGAAGCCCACGAAATGTCAGCATATTACGTTCTTTCTGTGTTCAGTTCTAGATCTACCCACGTCGAAACTGGTTCGACCAAACCGTAATTTTACTTCATTAGGATCTTCTTCTTCAGTTTTGAGAGCGAGCGTCAACGTTAGTTTGCGAAAAGAGGGAAAAAAAAGCTGAATGTAACAGAGAATCAAAAGTAAGAAAAGCAGACATTTTAACGGGAACAGCGAAAACAGGTCACGCGCTAAATTTTTAACTTGAGACCTCGTTTTGGGATTAGTTTGGGCTCCCAAGACTCGATTTCTGGATTCATCCACTTGAACAATATCATTGCCAAAAACAAGGGAAATAGAATTAGGGTTTCATAGAAGGCGTTGCACAGTGGAATAATAGGAATGGGAATGGCTTCTACTGCTTCCCACATGCATCGTGAAGGATCATGTCGAAAGCATCAAGCAGCGAGCGGGTGTACAGCTCGGAGTCTATGAAGCCTTGCTCAGCTCGCACAGCTACTCTCAAATTTCCCGCATAGCTGAAGATCATTACGCTGAGACTTTGCAAAAGTTAATCACAAGAATAGATTTCATGGGTTCATCAGGTTGTCGTTTATGGAGAAGAAGGCCGCTCACAATCTGATTATGTGTTATGGTAAATAAGACATATCGATTCTTGCATTCGACATCCTATCGACTTCTTGTGGATGGCATAGGAGAGTAAATGTTGCATAAAATGTATTACGATATCATGTAGAAAAGTTTGTGCTTAGATCTGTAGATGTGGCAAAAGTTGCAATCTATATCAATATTTCGGAATAAGATGCATGTAACGACTCAGAAAATGAGGCTCAGTACCAAAACTTTAGACCCACCAATCAAGCATTGGTAATTTTATGCTCTTGGGTTGAAATCAAAATTAATGATAACTAGAAATATACCTCAGGTGTGCCGGCGACTCTGAAGTACAAGCCTTTAACAGGATGATTACCTAGAGACAATTTCTCCATTGGCCCCATAACGTTGGAGATGCCCATGCTCGAGTTTCTCGATGTCCTGCTGATGTGCTTTGCTACTGCCTGCAAGTACAAGCAAACAAGAGTGCATTCATATCAATTTTTTCAATCAGACTTAACATATTTAGCATTTTTTTATTAATTAATTGTCGCGACGTGCATGATAGAATAATTAAATATTAAACTGTACTTTCATCTAATAGTTTACAGAGGTCCCGCAAAACCTTACATGGTATTATAGTAGGAAAATCTTTAGTTCCAATAGTGATAGAATAATTAAATAGTAAACTGTGACTTTATCTAACAGCTTAAGCTATTAGACCATACCTCTGCATCTCTACATTTCATCATGATCTCAAGTAGCTTCCCTGTGAGGACTACACCAAAGGAGCTCCGTTTCCTCTTGATCACCTCATGAGCTTTGTGGACAAACTTCAAAGGATTAGAGAACTGAGAATCGCTCGGTTTCACTTTCAATATCGGCACATGCAAGAATGCAAAATGGTTTCCCCACAGTGACTTGGAATTAGGTTGGACCATGTCTCTCACTGGCTTGTAATCTCGCAAATTCCTCATATTCAGTAACACCAGTGCCGTGGATGTGACATTCTGAAATCCGACCCACTTGGGATTTATGAAATGAATGATTTATGGACATACTTGTAGTTAGATCTCGCCCGGAATTGATCACTCCTGAGATACTAATCGTTAGGGAAAGGCTAATTAGGGAATTAAACTCGCGCGACCAACGAAACTCGATCGTGAATCGACTTTCGACCATAAAAATTGCCGAGGTGACATTTTGAGCCGGTGTAGGCCGATCCAAGGATAGCTAGGGATCAATTCGCCGCTGTCACATTAGTGGATCGCAGGTGATTCCGCTTGACCACGGGATGAACTGACGAATGACCCTAAACCTATACCAAACGATCGAGCCCGTCGGAACTAGCGATCGATCCTCGCGATTAAGTGACAACTGAGGTCATCACGATTCGAGTGAACTTGAACGTGGCTTGATTCAGTATCGGCCACGGGTCAAATGTGTGAAATTCCCCAAAAGCCACCCGTTAGTTCGAGATATGCTCAAGTTATGTTAATTAAATTTGGTCATTAATTAACGACCAAGATTGGGCCTTGGAAACTATGAATGTTACGACAGGATGTTGTTGGCTTAGTCAGTCTCAGAATTGTCCAGGTTCTTCAGAAAATTCGAATTCTGGCGAGAAATGAAAAATGACCATTTTACCCCTGGGATTTTGTTAAGGCCAAGAATAATGGAGGAGGGGCATTTTGGTCATTTCACACTAGCTTTAGAAATAGAAGTTTTTGGACAATTTTGCCCTTGGAAATTTTTTGAAATTCCAATTTTGCCCTTGGATATTTTGATGAGAATCGATATGGGCCGTCGATTTCTAGATAAGCTTGAATCTTGGCCGTTGGATGGAAAGTTGAGAGAAGGGTAAGATGGTAATTTCACCTAGGGTAGGCTTAGAATAGCCTTTTCTCTTCCTATTTATTTTCTTTTCTCTCTCTCTCTCCTCATTTTCTTCCTCACGTCTTACCTCTCTCCCTCTCTACCCATCTCGGCCGACCTCTCTCTCTCTCCTCCCATGGCCGTGGCCGACCGGCCAAGCTTGCTGTCGCCGCCGTTCCGTCGAGCCACCGTTCGCCCCTCCGTCTCGTCACACCACCGCCACCACCGTCCCTCTCTCTCTCCTGTTTTTCCCATCACCAAAACACCATCACCAGCCTTCATTCCTGTTCAGTCCAGCCGAGGAAAACCAGCAGCCCATCGCCGTCGATCGCCGCCGCTCGTGGACGCCGGTGAGTCGCCGGTATCCCTTTTCGTGAGACACCGCTGCCGCTGCTGGTTGCCCCCTGTCCAGCCGCTGTTGATGCGTCAATTTCGCGTAGGAATCACAAGTAAGTGATATCCTAACCCTCGCCTAGGATAAGGGGTATTTTCGGGTTAGTTCGGGGCCGTTTTAGCGAGTTTTAGGGGTTAATCGTGGGACAATGGTTGGACTGATTTGGCTGAGTGCTTTGGGTGAAATTGTGATGATTTTTGAAGTGGATTGGAGGTTAGAAATGATTGGTTAGGTAATCGGAATGATTCCGAGTGATTATTGTGGCTTATGGCGCGAAAAACGGGCCTAAATGTGCCGTTATGGTGATTTTGGTGGTGGCCGAATTACTGTTCATGCTGTGGCCGAATTAGTGCATTTTGGCGATTAAAATATAGTGCGTGTTGGTTTGGGGGTTGTCGGCAGGAGTACGACACCCGTGAATAGTGAAATTCGGCTTAAAATGCAAAAAAACTCGAGTTAGTTGTGCACGTGCGAATTGAATTGGATTGGCTGGTTTGTGGATGGAATTGTGATGTTTCGGGGCTGATTTAATGCCGAATTGAAGGCTGGAAATTGTGGCTCGTAATGATGAGCAATATGGTCCGATTCGGGGACTAAAAGTGTCGGTTGATGTGTGTGGTGTCGTGGCTGGTTGTGATGCTTATTATGGCTTGAAATATACCTGGAAATGCTGAATTTATGCTCACGACATTGGCTGTGATTGTGGGTCCGATGGCGGCCTTGTATGCTCGTTGGTTTGTGAAATAATTGATTGAAATGTGGATTGTTATATACGCGCATGGGCTGAGTTGAATTGACTGTTAATTGGTCATGATTGGGTGTTAATTGAGCATGTGAAATGCGTGAGATTCGATGCGTGCATGGGCCGAATTTGATCGGCTGGTAATTTGGCATGATGGTGTGTAAATCGAGCGAGTGAATGAATGAGAAATTGCGTGATGTGTCGTGCGTGTGGTCACGAGAATCCCTGAGGCGGTACTATTACGTGGGGAATTGTGCCGTCCTGAGGCGGTACCATAATGCGAGACGATGCCCAGTATTACCTGATGACGGCCAACCTGAGGCGGTACCATAACGCGGGTTGTGCCGTAGGTGGTGGATGTTGAGCCTGAGGCGGTACCATTACGCGGGCAAGATACATAGCCTGAGGCGGTACCATTACGCGGGCTAAGAAGTGTTGTGAAATTGAGGTGATGGATGTTGAGCCTGAGGCAGTACCATTACGCGGGCAAGATACATAGCCTGAGGCGGTACCATTACGCGGGCTAAGGAGTGTTGTGAATATGAGTTGATCGCAGTGAACCTGAGGCGGTACTATTACGCGGGTCACTAACGAGTCGGGTGAAAATAGTGTGATGAGGCAGGAACGAGTGTGTGGAATGTGGAATTGGGAATGCCATGTGTTCGACTTGTGTATTGGGCATGAAATTAATTTGAAATGTGCATGCGATTGGAAATTATATAATTGAGACTAACCTGCAAATTGCGCGTGTAAAAAGCCCAGGTAAGTGCAATTGTGTGCTTGTGATGTGCTTATTGAGTGTTATGGTGTTTGAACTTGTCTGGAGGTACGTGTTAGCCTAGGTGAGGTTTAGGGTGTTACTTGCTGAGACGTGTCTCATAGTTGTTTCAACCAAAACATTTCAGAACCCTGGCCTGAACCATGAATCTTCCACCACCGCCGCCGCAGCGTTTTGGGATTCTTACGCACACCGACCATGCAGTAGTAGAATACCCTATAGATAATCCGATCGAGATTGAGGCAGATTCTGAGTCGTCAGAGGAGCAGGTGAATCAGGAGGAGTCAAATTCAAGTTCGGAGGAGACCGACTCGGAATGGACACCATCTAGAGTTCGTAGGGGTTAGCTGAGGGTAGGGTGATCATTTTTGAAGTACCATTTTTTGAGTTAGTTTGCACCCAGACTACTGGTCTCTTTTGATGTTAGCGGTGTGAATTTTAGAAGCCGGTATGCTTGTACGATAGTTTTATTGTGAATATGGTGGGTGTATGAAGTGGTTGGTTGTTGTACATGATGGATTGTATTGGATATTGTAAATATATCACAGTGTAATATAGTGCTTGGTGGTTGGTGGTTTGTCTCTCCCTATTACCCCATGATTTTATTGTCAGGGTTTATGTTCTCGTTTCCGCCTTGTTCGAACTCTGATGTGTTGGGTTGGGTCGGCGATGTTCCTGGGACGTCGCATTATTCGACCGAAGAGGGATGTTGCGAGCTCGAATAGTTCGGGGCGTGACAGTGGAGTTGGTGCTCAGCTTCGAGTTTGGGCTCGCTCTATGCATGTACAATCGTGTTGCCAAGAAGATTATTCCGGTCATTACGTCGTTGACGGTCTGTTTCAATGAAGAAGAGAAAATTTACGTGAGAAGAACTGATGGTATGCTAGTTTTTTGCCCTCGAAGTCGATGCATAATCGTTTATTTCCACACCTTAGGATAATTAATCCATTTTTGTATAGTAAAAAAGCAAATATACCTACAGTTCCAACTTGACCTAGTTCAAGAAATAATGTTGCATTTTTATCGTCGGATGCTACTAAAGATCTTATCATTTGAGGCTGATTCCTGTCCACTAATGCAAATGTTGATATAGTTCTCCATCAAATGTCTTAGTCATGCTTGTTAAATGTGAATAAAGTCAAAGAAAAGGAAAATTATCCAAAAAGTCATAAACCTATTGTACTTTTGCCAATTCATTCTTAAACATTTTATTTGTGTCAGTTTTTTTATTGGTCTAGTTATTTGTGCCAATTTTTTTGGTCAAAATTTGTGCTAATTGAATCTTAAACATTCACGTTTTGTCAATTGAGTCCATCCAGCCAATTTTGGCATGAAATCGCTGACATGAACATCTGCTGTCTTACGTGGCAAAGCCAACACTGACGTGAATAAATTTTAATAATATTTCAATATTTTTTCGAATTTATATTTAATTTTTTTTATTTTCTTTGTTTTTTTTACAACTCTATGGGCCAACCATCGCCAGCCACAAGTGAGGGCCAACGACCCTCCCTGGGCTAGGCAAGGGTGTCGCGACCCTTGCCGAGCACCGGCCAGGGCCTTCGCCAGATCCACGTGAGGGCTGTGATGCCCTCGCTTGGTCTAGGTGACGATGTCGCGGCCCTCACCGAACACAAGCGAGGGCACGAAGGCCCTCACCCAGCCACAAGCGAGGGCCGCAACGCCCTCGTTGGGTAGAGTTGTAAAAAGACAAAGAAAAGAAAAGAAAAAAATTAATAAAAAATTCAAAAAAATATTTAAAATTGTCCACATCAGCGCTAGCCATACCACATAGGACTGCTGGCATCCACGTCAGCAATTTTCGGCTAAAATTGGCCAGATGGACTCAATTGGCAAAGCGTGAAAATGTTTAGGACTCAATTAGCATAATTAAAAAGTTTATGACTTAATTGATAAAAGCGCAATAAGTTTATGACTTTTTTGATAATTTTCCCCTCAAAATTGTCCTTTTGTTTTCAAGGATTTCATGTTGTGCTTTATGGCTAGGAATATCGTCACACACGTAAAATAAAAAAAATATTATGCAAATCCATGTCATTTTCCTTGATTAACCCTTGTACACCCTGAATACTAGCCATATACTAATTTACAGACTGAGTATAGTAGACGTCTAATATAAATATCACCTAAACATCTAATATATATATATATATATATATGTGTGTGTGTGTGTGTGTGTGTGTGTGTGTGTGTCCATCGATGGTTCTTATTGGCCATCCCTGTGACTTTGTGTACTATGACTCTTGGTACATTATAGGTATTAGTTGGGATAATAAAGTGTTGGTAGTTAGAAGTTGTCATGGGCCTAATTTCCTAAAAAACCTCAACTTTAGGTCAAGTCTCAAATCTGTCTTGAACTTTTTTTTGTCTAAAAAAAAACCCAAACTGTAGGTCCAATTCTAAATCTGCCCTGAAATTTTTTTTTTCTCTCTGAAAAAACCTCAAACTTTAAGTCCAATTCCAAATCTACACCAAATTTTGTTTTGTGTAAAAAAAATCATCAAAATTCAATTTTATTTTAAAAAATATACCCCCGTGATCCAGTCCAACTTGACGTGGCACTTCCACGTCGATAACAAATCAACATCATCAAAGTAATAGAACATTTTTTTAGACAAAAAAAAGTTCGGAGCAAATTTAGACTGAACCTAAAAATTAGGTTTTCTTTAAATTTAAAAAAAAATTTGGGTGGATTTGTTATTGTCCCTAACTTTTATATACTAGAATGGCTTTATTTTGGAGAATTTCAACAATTTTATTTTGTTTGATTTGTTATCGAAGTGAAAATGCGACGTCAATCTGTATCTATCTCCCCATTACTTTGCTGACGAGGATTTGTCATCAACGTGGAAGTGCCACGTCAAATTAGGATTGGATCACGGGGTATATTTTTGAAAATAAAATGAAATTTGCTTTTTTTTACATAAAATAAAATTCGGTGCAGATTTAGGATTGAACTTAAAGTTTGGGATTTTTTCTAAGACAAAAAAAAAGTTCGGGGTAGGTTTTGAACTTGACTTAAAGTTTGAGGTTTTTTCTAAGACAAAAAAAATTCGGGGTAGATTTAGGACTTGACCTAAAGTTTGGGGTTTTTTTACGAAATTCACCTCCGTTGGATAGGACTTGTAATAATTTCAATCTAAGAGCAACAGGTTGAGAATTAATAGGGAAGTCTTTAAAAGAATTGGATATCATTGACACACACATACATACACACACATATATATATGTCCATCGATGGTTCTTATTGGCCATCCTTGTGACTTTGTGTACTATGACTCTCGGTACATTATAGTATTAGTTGGGATAATAAAGTGTTGGTCGTTAGAAGTTGTCATGGGCCTAAT